CACTTGTCGTCTCGCGTATGAATGCACCAGCCCGTTTCACTTACCGTTCGCCTTTGCACTGAGCTCCACTTCACGGACGAGAGAGCACACAGTTCGAGCAAAGAGAAGAAGCAAAGATGTGCGTGGTCCTGTCTCGGGCCGAGCAAGAACAGCTGATCGAGAAGCTCCAGGTCTTCAAGATCAAGGGCCGGGACAAGCGCGGCCGCAAGATCCTCCGCATCGTCGGAAAGTTCTTCCCAGGTAAAAAGATCCACCCGTCGTCTAGTTCGGGCACTTGACGAAGTCCGAGAATGTGATTGTTTCTCGTCGAACATAACGCTGGAAAACTTTGATTCATGGCATGCATCTTCAGTTGTCGCTAGACTGTTCACATCTAGATAGGAAATTGGATCTTTGCAACGATGGAAGGTCATGGTTAATTCAATCGCAAGAACTAAGGGCTACCGGAAGCTTACTGATTACGATCGGTTTCTGCGAGGCGCGAGCGAGAGATTTAACTGGTGTAATGTTGGTTGGTGTTGATCATCAGCTCGATTCCTGAGCGCCGAGGTATTGAACGAGTACCTGGAGGAGAAGATCTATCCGAGGCTGAGCAAGAAGCGATTCAGCGTGGTGTACGTGCACAGCGAAGTCCAGAGGAGCGACAACTTCCCCGGGTTCTCGGCCCTCCGGTCCATCTACGACTCGATCCCCGCCCAGATCAAGGACAACCTCGAGACCGTCCACTTCGTCCACCCCGGCCTCCAGGCCCGCCTCTTCTTCGCCACCTTCGGCCGCCTTCTCTTCACCGGCGGGTGAGTAACGAATCGGAATGCATTACGGTCGTGTCCGGTCGACGTCGAATCGGTTTCGAATCCGATCTGCATTGCGTTTTCGAATGAAACACGAACAATTTGACTGCTAAGCGAAAGACGGAAAGACAAGGGACACAGCAGCTCCTAACACGGGTTGGTTACTGTTTGTCCCGTGGCAGGTTGTACGGGAAGCTGAACTACGTGAGCCGGCTCGACCTGCTGTGGGAGCACGTGAGGAGGGGCGAGATCGAGATCCCGGAGTTCGCGCAGGAGCACGACGAGGATCTGCAGTGCCGTCCGATGATGGACTACGGCTTGGAGAGTGACCACGCTCGGGTCCACGGCGCGCCCGCCACGGATTCGACCGTGTCCATGTACTCCATGCGGTGCATCTCGTGATCGTAATCGTGTCGTGCCGTAATAAACAATGGTAGATTTCCATAAGTAATAATAACAATAGTTCAGCCGATCCCGATCCCAATCCCAATCCCGTTTCCTAAGGTTATAGGAGGAGACCAGGTCTTCTACATTTACCCCTCATCCTTATCTCCAATGTCCCTAATTATATTATATTCTATGTGACCGTTACATCGCACAACGGTGATAATGGAGTGTAATCGAGCAACCACTATTCCCCGCGTGTCATGAATTTCATTTTAATTAGTGGCTCGGTTATATTACGGTTATATTATTGTCACGTGATGCATCCGTCACGCAAATTATTTCCTCTAATAATTAAAATCAGGACTCGTATTCATTGGACGCTACCCCTCTCATTCTCCACAGCCCCGCAGGTCGTGAGTGCCTTGATCCGGGCTTATCCGAGACAGATTATCTACGGCCGTGTTGGTCAAGCGCACGTCCACGTAAGATGACATTTAATTTCAATAGCGTCTACTCATGCTAGAATAGATAATAACATTTTTTACCCAAATTTCTTGGGATTAATACGCAAAAAACCCTAAATTGGTACACAAAATTACTAATTTGTGATTTTTTGTGATATTAATCCAATTTAACAGAGGGTAAATTTGTCGCAAGTATACCGGTTTGAAGTTTTTTGTGGTCAAAAAATTAGTGTGAAGTAAATTTATCACAGATGTACCAGTTTGAGATTTTTGATGGTTAAAAAATTAGTTTGGGGAAAATTTATTACATATGTATCAGTTTGAGATTTTTCGTTATATTAACTCAATTTTTTATAAGGATATATCCAAATTAGGAGCTGATGGTGCCTCCATGATCGCGAGACTCAATGCACGTGAGGCGCCATCGAGACCGGCATAGGGAAAAAATGCCTAGAAAAGTCTGTTGACAAGCGATGGTGGCCCGGTTGAACGGTGCTGCGCCAATATTGCCGGCGGGGATGACGGGAGAGGAGGGGTGGTGGTCGGTCCGGCGCGTGGCGGCAAAGGGGGGGTCAAGAGGAGAAAGGTAGAGAAGAGGAGCTTTGCGTGCTAGGGTTTAGTGGGACTTGGATTAGGTGTGGTTAGATCAATAATTGGTTGAACATGAGTCACGATTGCATGGACGAGACAATCAATGGGTCACGGTGGGGACAGCCTGTCGGCATCCAAAGCTAGTGTCCTAGTCAGATAAAACCTAAATTATTCGACGGAGTGATAAAAAAGTCAAATTTATGACCTTATCAATTGGCCTTTCTTTCCTTTACGTGTGGGTAATTTACAAAATTCCAAAGAAGTCGAGACAAAAGAGAAGAAGGAAAAGATTCATCAATTATCATGTGCATGCACATGACCGCATGGCCTTCCTTAACCTCCCTTTAATGATGTCTTGTCATCACCGCATTCTTCACCTCATCAAGACTTCGAAAGAAATCGAGAGACAAAGTACTAAGAAAAGTACTAAAAATGTCCTCGATGCTAAGCTTCTCTAGGATTTGAGCAGAAAAATCATACACTTATTATATTTATATCAATTCAACTCTAAATATTTCAATTATGTTAATTCAGTTCTAAATATTTTTTGAATTTTGTCAATTAAGTCTATACTGCCAATTTAATTTAGAAATTGCTAGAGTAGACATCGAGCGTCCTATGTAACATAATCGGCGTCGACGTAGATATTTTTTTAATAGTTTTTTTGGTCTTTTTCTTTACCCTTTTTTTGGACTGAGGTCTGGCTAGGGTCGCCAGCTGACCCTTGTTGGCCACAAGCGAGGGGCGAGATGCCTTTGCCAGCATTGGGCAAGGGCTTTGTGGCCCTTGCTAGATTTAAGCGAGGGATAGCGTGCCCTCACTTTGGTCAACGAAGGCATCTGGGCCCTCACCCACCACAACAAGCGTTGCGACCCTTGCCAAATCTGGGGGAGGGCTACGACGCCCTCGTTGGCCCTTAATCCAAACACAAAAAAAAAAAAAAAAGAGTAAAGGAAACAAAAGAGAAAAAAGAAAAATTTTCAAAAAAATATTAAACATTTATAAGAAAAATGTCAATGTGAGTGCCCGTCAAACCAAGTAGGACAGCTAGCGTCCATGTTAGCGATTTCCGACTTAAACTAGCCGGATGAATTCAATTGGTAAAATGTGAAAAAGTTCAAGACTAAATCGACATAATTAAAATGTTTGGGACTAAATTGCAATAGGTTTACCACCTTCTTGGTACTTTTCCGAAAATTAAGCTACACTGGTTTTGCATGCACAAACTCGAACGAGGAGCTGATCACACTCATATGGGGGAAGGCAGGACGCTCAAAGGGCTGAAAATGGAGAGGGCGTTATCAGTTGCCAATTCACCAATTTTGTGGATCAACGTAAAGTTGCCCGAGCGTTCGCCTTGTGCATGCTTCCCTTGCGATCGTGGCCTCTGGGGCGACGGTGCAATTTCCCTCCCAATTCTCGGACCAGACAGACATCTAGTTCCTGATAGAAGCAAATTGATCCGTGAAGACCAATGTGGGACACGTTCTGGCTCGTCGAGTTCTCATTGCTTTGGGACGCAAAAGTCCGAGGAAACTTCCCACCAAAATTCGTGAGACTCGGGGATCAAGTTGAGATCCAAACTGGTACACTTATAATAATTTTACCCTGAACTAATTTTTTGATAACAAAAAACCTCAAACTGGTACACCTGTGATAAATTTACCTCGAACTATTTTTTTGATTACCTTGAACTAATTTTTTGACCACAAAAATTCAAAACTAGTACACCTGTGACAATTTTACCATAAACTAATTTTTTGACCACTAAAAATCCCAAACTAGTACATTTGTAACAAATTTACCCTCTTTTAGTGTCTGTTAAATTGGATTAATATTACGAAAAATCACAAATTGGTAAACTTGTGACAAATAGAGGGGTGAAACCCCAAACTGGTACACCCGTCAACTATCACGTGTCATCATACTTAGCAATTTGACAGTAAAATTTAACGGAAACTAACGGAAGGTAAATTTGTCACAGATGTACTAGTTTGGGGTTTTTAGTGGTCAAAAAAATTAGTTCGGGGTAAATTTGTCACAGGTGTACTAATTTGGGATTTTTTGTGGTAAAAAAATTAGTTCAGGGTAAAATTGTCACAAGTGTAGCAGTGTAGGGTTTTTGATTGTTAAAAAAATAGTTTGGGGCAAATTTATCACAGGTATATCAGTTTGGTGTTTTTTGTGGTATTAACCCTTTCTTTAAAGACAAAGCTTTGCTATGATTTTCTTTATTTCACGAAAAATAAATAATTTTTAATTTTTTTTTATTTTTGTTCATTTATTTTTATAAGTGATTTAAATAATTATTTTTTTAAAATAATTATTTTTCACAAAATAAACGCATCGCATTTCGAGCAGGACGTAACCCAACATCCCACAACTAGCCGTCGTCTCATCAATTGAATAAATGGACAAGCTACGTAAAACATAAATTGATTTTCCTTCTCCTTTTTCGAGTTCAGAGGCTCCAGTCGACCCTGGCGGAGGGGCTGTCGCGGCGAGGAGGTGGTGGAAGGGAGAGATGGGGGCTGGGGCGGTCATGAGCGCGGGGTGACCTCCTGGGTGTCGTCCTTGGTCGGAGGGGAGGTGCTGGGTTGCCCTGACGACACGGTGGCGCTCGGACGGAGGTGGGGCTGCGCCGGCCGCGTGTGCCGATGGGTCCTGTGGTCGCGGCGATGGGCGATGGCAAGGTGATCGAGCCCGGTCAAAGTCAACTCATTTTTATCATATAAGCAACAAAGTCCCTTATTCCTTATTATATAATAATATAACGGAAAGCAAAATAAAGTAAGCCACCAGTCACGACTGCTCATCTCCTACACCGCCCCTGTTCCTGGTCCTCTGTCTCTACCTGCAAGATGGAGAACACAGTCCCATGGTCCGATCTCCCCAAGGAGCTCTGGTGGATGATCGCGAAGCGGCTCGACACCCCCACCGACGTCCGCCGATTCCGCAGCGTCTGCTCTTCCTGGCGCTCCCTGATCCCTCCGCTCCCCCACCACAACAACCCTCCTCTGTTCTCCCTGAAGCTCCCTCTCCGGCCGAGCCAAAAGCACGCCTTCGTCACTCAGTCCACGCTCTACCGCCTCCAGCCGCCGGAGGAATCCGGCCCGGCCTTTGGCTGGCTGGTCAAGCTCGAAGAATCCGGGGAGCCGGACCGTCCGCTCCGCCTCCTGAGTCCGCTCTCGAAGCAGCCCATCAAGTACAAGCCCGGTTCCTTTCCTAACGTGTTGAACACTTTGGACTTCAGGGTCACTGAGGTTGCTAAAGAGTACGCCGTCGAGGTCGATGACGGGGTCAATTTGCGCCGTGTGGCGAAGGTAGCTTTGTTCCCCGATTCGGCGTGGGCCGATGCAGGGGAGTGTACGGTAGTTGGGATTCTTGAAGGAGGGAAATTGGGGTATTGGAGATATGGGGATGAGGATTGGAGTGTGATTGAAGGCCAAGGTTGTCATTTTGATGATGTCATGATCTACAAAGGGCAGTTCTATGCTGTGGATGGGCTTGGGACCGTGTCGTGGATCGACCCGTCTTTTCGGGTCGTGCAGTTCTCGCCACCCATGTGTGGCGGTGGCGACAGGAAGCACCTGGTGGAGTCGGGTGGCGACCTCTACGTGGTGGACCGGTACCTTGAGGGGAGCGGTGTGACGAGGTACCGGAATAACCGGGAGGTCGGCAAGGAGACGGTTAGGTTTAGAGTGTATAGGTTGGATCAAGAATGGGGCAAATGGGATGAAGTGAGGAGCCTCGGTGATGTGGCCCTGTTTCTGGGTGATCACAGTTGCTTCACAGTGTCTGTGCAAGAGTTTGGTGGGTGCATTGGGAACTGCATTTACTTCACTGAGTTGAATGATTTATATGGTGCTAAAGTTCATGTCTTTTGCATGGAGGACCATAGCATCAAGAGGGCGGCGTTCTCGCCGGATTACTTGAGGATCCTGTGGCCGCCTCCGGCTTGGATCAGCCCCAGCCCATGCCCCCTGGATCCGAAAACTATTTGGCCAGTTTTCTAGTTCGATCTGGAACGGTTTCGATTTCGAGCCGAATTGGGTTTGTAATTCGATTTCGAGTATGAATGAAAAGTGAAGTTGTAATCGCTTCGTGAGATATTGAGAATCCATATTCTGTTGACTTGCTGAATTTCCTTATGGGGATGAGGATTGGAGTGTGATTGAAGGCCAAGGTTGTCATTTTGAGGGTTAATTCCAAAAAAAAGCACAAATTTTAGGTCTAGGGACAATTCTGGCGAACTTTTTTTTATCCCATAAAAAAACACCAATTTTAGGTCAAAGGACAATTTTAGCCCAAACTTTTTTTTGTCCCGTAAAAAAGCACCAACTTTAGGTCAAGAGATAATTTTGGCCCCAATTTTTTTTTGTCTCGTAAAAAAACACTAACTTTAACTTAAATCTCAAATCTAGCCCCCATTGATTTAGAACCATTGATTATCTATCTTGACTATTCCACATTAGCAATAAATCCACGTGGCTTGCTGACTAGATTTAAATCAATATTCATTGTCTTATTCTCTAAGTCACAATTTGAAGAATAACGGTAAAACTGTTTGTTTTCTTCACTTTACTGACAAGTCAAACGTAATCTGAAGCTGACCACCGCCTGTCGACAGACGCTATGGACGAGATTCGCCAAACTCACCACCATAACCTTCTTTCTCAAACAATGGTGAAAGTTAACGGGGCCAGATTTGGGATTACGATGAAAGTTGGTGATTTTTAATGAGACAAAAAAACTTGGTGAATACGTGCAGCAGCTTGAGTGGCGTCGCAAACAGCGGCCAACGAATCTTTGAGTGAAAGGCCGCTCGGCAAGTCTCCTTCTCCGATTGGAGTGGGACTTCTTTCTGAAATTGTTTGTACTGCTTTTCCTCCAGAACCATGAGAGGCATCACCTCCAGCGGTGTCCAGATTAAGGGATGGAAGGTGAGTTCCCAAAGCAGATTCAGCAAGATAACCAGCAATTCCTTTGTGTCCATTGGCAGAAGCTAAATCTGCAGGTGTTCTGCCCGTTGTATGAGCGGGAGTTGGATCAGTTAATGCTCCAGGTGCTGCACCAAGAGAGATGAGGGAAGCAACCGTCCGCTCTCTGACATCATTAACACCACAATGATCAAATGGTATTTATTTAAAAAAAAAAAAATAGGCATAACTACAGGAACATCATCGTAAAACATTCTACAAGATCATTACAAGATACCGACACATTCAAGTGCCTATAACAGGATCAAACTTTTCACTGGAACGTTCAAACGATTAAGTTATTCGCGAAAAGAACTTTAGGTCCTCCCTATGCAGCTCAAAACAATCAATATTGAGGTGAACCACTGATAGTCAACCAATTCCATTCCTAATAATTAAATCAGAATCTATTGAATGTTTACAACTGAGGGCGGACCACATCTCAGTCCAGACCTGTTTATTGGCAACGTAAACAAAAATAAAGAATGAAGATCTGAGGGCCCATTTAGTCAAAGAAGCATCTAGTTTTCTGTCTAACAAAAAAGAGAAAAATCAGTGAGATAATCACATGGTGTAACCTTGCCCAGGCAACCTTTGCTTTCACTGGGATTCTTTCTTGAGTACGCAAAACTACCAAAAAAGAGTAACTCTTCTATCCAACTGAAATCACAGACAAAACATAAAATAAAATATCACAGTAAATTTGAGCGTTCATGATTTTGATTCTAAATTGAATTACATCCTGAAGAAAATGAACAATACAAAAGAAGTGAAAGCAATGTATAGACAACATTTCCCCAGTAATAGAAAAGTAATAATAGGACAGTCTAGGATCAAAGGCAACCTAATACATGCCGCCGCAAGCTCTAGAGGTGAAAACAGCACTTCAGAAAACCAGGTACGAAATTCCAAAAGCGCTTACCTGCCAAAAGATGCTGCCCAGTGAAGTGCAGTCCATCCATTTGCATCCCGAAAATTTACACTTACACCAGCAATACTTGTTGGTTGCAAGGCCCAATCATAGCCGAGAGCTGACGCAAAATGTAGCACACCTTGGCTACCCTCATCCAATACGCTGGCACCTTTTCCGCCCTCAGCTGCCTTTTCTATGAGCCATTCGCATAACTTCTCCTTGAGTAGCTTTTGGAATAACTCCTCTCTCACTCTCTCTGTAGAAAACTCATCTGAAGTACTTTCCAACACAAGATCCCAACGAGCATCATCGTCTTTAAGCAACGAGCAGATCTTACTTCTCAACTGTCAGTTTTCCCCAATATTACTGTTCCTGAGACGCAGGGAGTTTGCACACAGCAACTTTGCAAAACGCTTGTAAAGAGTCTCATCTATACTGCAATCTTGAGAGTTGTTCACACGGAATTCAAACTCACGAAGTTCACTACGTGCCACCCTATCGGACCATGTGATGTAAAAGGGAACCCTCCCAGCCTTGTGCACCGGAGCATGGCAACGCAGAACACCATCTGCTATAACCTCTGCTGGAACTTCTACCTCACCAAACATGCAAGACCATTTGCATAGTTCTGCTTCTTGTTGACTTCTCAAGAACCTCCCGGTGATTAGCACGTGTACCACATAGCAAAACAAAGAGGTAGTGGCATCACTTAAGTATAAAACTAAGCAAGTATTGCTCCATTCAACAGAGAACTTCTGACAGGTGCTAAAGCTATGACAATGCTAGCAGTGCACAGTGTGGAAATTTCAGTCAGAGCACCTTCATTTCTGAACCAGCGTATGTCCAACTTGGTGAAAAATCTATGATGCTAAATAGTTGTTCCTGGGAAAGAGAGGGAGTGAGCACAAAGTTATTTTCATGCTCCTGAGAGTCGCTCGAATCAACACCACTGTCACTGACAATGACACTCCAGTAGGCTCCGGTACTAGACTGACCAAGTAACTCATTCACATCCCCTAGTTGTTTACTCATCCATCGGTTGAAACTGTCAATCTTCTTCAAACCTTCTTCTGCTAGGATATTGGCAAATGGCTGTTTTCCTGTAGGAGGGCAGCCGGCTTTTCCTTCTAATGCAACATTGCCATCTAAGAATGAGTTTGTCTGATGTCCATTTTCTGTGCTTACACTCTCTGCAATTTTATTGGTTAGACGTACCTGGCAAGGCACCAAAATACACTATTGAATCAACAGCATAACTTTCTCCACGTAACTATAAGCAAGATCAAAGGCTACGTCTGCATAAAACTTCGGGTCCCCAGGCCACTTAGACAAGGTACAAATCGACTTCAGAATCTGGTTAAAAAGCTCCATTAATGCAAATATCAAGCAAACTCTAAGCTCTGCTACATAAGAGAAAAACCGGTCAAAAGAATATAACAACCATTCAAGAGCAGATAAAGATGATTTAGGTACTACTAATCCAACAAGGATGTTCCTCGATATCTCATGAATAAGGTTATATACGTCATAATAGAAAGCCAACTAAAGCTTTTAAAAAGCAATTTGCTCCATGGTTTAACTATTTCAAAATTCGTTTTCTTCTGTAGATATCATCTGACCAACAAAATAGAGCACGCAAATTGCATAGATATTAACACTATGCTTAGAGCAAAAATTTTTCTAACAAAAGAAGGATCAAATTCACATAGCTATCTTCAAGTACCTGCAATTCTTCTTGGTCCTGTAATCGGATCACAATCTCCTGCTTCATACAGATACCATCTGTGAAAAGCTCCGCTAGTATATCATGTTCCCGTTTAGGCATGATTTAAGGGGTAACGGTTTGTGCAGAAGAAACTGACAGCTGAATAAGATTGGATTGGCCACCAGAAGTACAACTTTCACATGCCTGCTCCCAAGAAGTAAAATCAAGATGCTTCTGAGCCTCTAATGCTGAACCAGCGACATTACACTCTCTAGTGATATCAGCTGAAGAAAGAGAGAGAAAATCCCTTCCGGGTTTAAGAGACAGGTTTCCTTGATAATCATCTGCAGGAAGTTGAGAATACTACCATAAGATTGGTGACGTTAAGTTAGAAGATAACAAATGAACAGATAAGAAGCTCAAGAAGCCTATAAGCAATTGAGTATGAATGCCCACCAAATCAAGGGGAAAAAATTATACAAAGAAAAAGAATGCACTGATTACTCGAATATGAAGCCGGATAATAAGGATCAGAGTGTCCACTGTCAATATTTTGCATTCCAGCCTCTTGAAAGTCAACAACAGAGTGAATTCCGGAATTTGCCTGGTTACTGTATGCTGTGCACAGTATAAAAACAACCAAGAAGAGATAGTCAACTTAAAAAATGAACAATCAGTCTATGAAGCACTTCCGACCACATGATACTCAAGGAATAACATCTGGGACAGTTATTAAATAGATGAACTGGGAGACGCCTATAACACAGAAATGAACCTGATTCAGCGTCCCCATACTCCGATGCCTGAGGACTAGAGCTATCCGTTGTTTGAGAAGGAACTTGGTAGTTATTTTGGTGAGAATTAGAAGACAGATGACTATTTATCTCATGGTTAGCTTCAGTTTCACGGGACAAGGAAATTGTCTCTTCAGTTTCTTTGATTCGATGGATGTTCATCCTGTTGCCCTGAGAAAAATGTGCACATAATAGTGTGAGCATCATAAAGCAAGAGAAAATATATTAGATACAATTGCATTTACAGTGTAGAAACTTGTTGATTGATTCTAATGATTCAGAAGCTCAATTAGTCTAGACTCTTGTGGCAACAAGAGAATTGATTTTCGAAAGAGACACTGCTTGTACAGGGTTAACGCAGTTAAATTGGCAATTCTGCTCAGATAGGATATTATGATACTAACTTATAGAAATTAGACGTAGCCAGTACCCTAGAGAATTGTGCTATCGGTGATTTTGTGTTCCAGTAAACCACAAAATAAAAATAATTTCTTTTATAATGAAAGCACCATTAATTGGAACAAGAGTTAAGGAACAAGAGTTAAGCTAGTTGGGAGCGTTCGAAGGACTATATTTACACAGTGAAATCTGAAAAGCATAGAGGTCTGCGGAGATTTATGCAAAATGAGTGAAATACATGCATTACTCTTCTAGAAGAAGAGAAAGTTGACGTGGCAAGGTTTTAGACAAACCTCTTGGAAAGTTGTAAACAATTTCTTGGTTTTAAGGTGGCAAGATCCAAGTAGGGTATA